ATAAACTATTTAATAATAAAAATGAAAAAAGGAATTTATTTTAGCTCTTTAACATATCCAAAGTCATATTTAGTTATAGTTATATTCTTATAACCAACAACACTTATTTCTTTTTTGAAACATTTGTTAATTCTTTTTGATTTTTTTTTCTTTTATATCAATTATTTTGTGGAAGTGTTTTTCTTTCTTATTTTATTAGACTCCACACACATGTATCACTAACAGGTAATTGATTAGAATTATCAATTCTATGACTTGATGAAGATCGGTTGGCACTATCAGCTTTTTCTTTATTTCTTTTATTTGTGGATGATTTAAGTTCTCTATCGTGAGTTTGTTTAACTTTTGACACGCTTGTTTTTATATCTTGTGTTACATTTTGCATCTGTGGTTGATCTTTTATACATGATGATTTTTCACATTCGTCTGGTTTCATTTCTTTCCTATTTAAAGGAACTGACCATAGGCCAGAATCTTGTTGGGTTGTCATTTGACTAATATTCTGACTAACTTGAGATGGTTTTGTTTGTTGTAATAACGAAGAAGACAAATTTGGTTGTGGTGATAATTGATACCCTTCGATCCTTGTTGGACTTGTTTCTGGGATAAATCCTTGCTGATTTCTTGAATAATCTTCATCTTGACTTATGACGCAATCTGACTGGTTAGTTATTGAACAACTAACGTGTGTTGGTTTAGAGAAGAAGTTCATAATTGCCTGACCAATTAACTCGTTGTCAAAATTACATACCTCATTACCGTCAAGGTATAAAACAGAGTGATTACCATTTATTCCAATTTGTCCAATTTTACTTGAAGAGATGATGTCAACAAGAACTAAGTTATACTGTGAGAAATGAGGAATTATTAGTATGTCTTTAAGTTGTGATTGGATTTGAGCAAAAAAGCTGTAATAGTTTTGCATGTTAAAGTGATGAATGAAAATAAGATTTTAAAGATCAAACATATATAAAAGAATATGAGTTAAATGACTACTATAAATTAATTATAAAAAAATCAATGAAAAGAAAAAAATAATAAATGTTATTTAGTTAAGTCATTTTAAAAAGATCAGACAAAAGTCATATGACACACTTAAGCAATATAATGGAACAATCCATTGTCTTGTTCATCTCTTAAGATATATTCTTTTTCAATTAGATATTCAACACCTTGTTTAGCTAATTTTATATCAATATTAAATGAGGAACTTAATTGAGAAAGAGTACATTTAATAAGATCATTATAACTAAGGTCTTTTCTTTGTTTCATTAATTTAACTTGATAACAAATGACAGCAGTAAATTTTTTTGATTCACTTTCTTTAGTTTTTCCTTTATTTTTATTTTGATTATTTACTAATTTCTTATCAATTTTATTTAATAAGAAACCATCAGTAATTGAATTATTAGTAAACCAAATCAGACTATTTCCTTCAAAGCCATTTGAACTAGATAAAATATTATAATTGATTAAAGAATTTAAATGGAATTTAAAAGAATCTAATGAAGGAGCTATAGATTTTTGTAATTCATTAATAGTTAATTTTCCATTATCATGTAATTTCATTAAAATACAATATTGAATATAACTAATTTCTAATTTGGATTCTTTTATTCCATTATAATAAGAAAGAATAACAGAACAACATAATTGATTTAATTCTAATTTTCTATCTGTATGAATACTTTTATAAGAAGTAACAAATAAATTCCAAATATTTTGAAGATAACTATCCATTTGAATTGAGCAATAAATATCATTTGCATTAAATAAAAATTTAGAGAAAACAATAATGTTTAATTTTAATGGAATTTGATTTTTATTACAAAATTCTTTAGTCATTTCTAAAGACAATGTATAGTCTTTTATAATTTGTTTTAATTTAAAAGAAGCAGAACAAGAGAAATTTTTAGAAATGTCATCAACAACTGAAGATTCTAATAAAATAGATTTTATAGTATTTTGAATAATTCTTTTTAATAAAAATTTTTGATGTAATATAATAAATGATTCTTTATCAGTTAAATAAGAAACGATATCTAACACATTTGTTAGTTCTTTCATTGTATCTTCTTCTGATTTAATATTTGTCATAATATTATGAATAAAAGTAGCTAAAAGAACTTCTGTTTGTTTTTCATCACCTTCATTTGTAATTTTATTTTTAACTAAACAAGATTTAAATGAATTTGTAACACATTCACCAAAAATAATATTTCCTTTAAAATATTCTTTTTTTAATTCTTCTGTTAAATTTTTAAATTTAAATAAGAAATAAACTATTTGTTTTATATTCTTATTAAATCCTTCTTTTTTACTTTCTTCTTCAAGTTCTTTATGAAACTTTAATCTAAAATATTCATCAATAGGATTAAGAAATTCATTATTTTCTTTTGTTTTATTCCATAATAAACTAATAATTTGAATATCCTCTTTTTCTTTTTTAATAAGAAGTTCTGGAAATACTGTTAATGCTTTTGTTGTTAATTTTAATAATACTTCTTTATTTAACATTTCTTTTATTGGTTGTTGCATATTTGGAAGTAATGCTGTTTTAATTAAATCATTTTCATTTTCAATAAATCTTTCTAATAAAATTAAACATTCATGAATTGGTAATGTTTTTATTTTATTAATAAATTTATTATAATCTGTCATTGTTTGTTCTTCAAATTGTTTTTGAAATGATTGAAGGTAAAATGATAATTGTTCATCAAAATGAAATTGAAGAATTGAAAGAATTGATTCATATTCTTCTATTGTTAATCCTTTATTAAATCTACTTTCTGATATTATATTAATTAATATATTAAATAAGTCTATTTGTTTTATTAAATATTTAAAGAATACATGTTTAAATGAATGTTTTAATACTGACTTTACTGTTCCATTAACTTTTTGGTGTGGACAAAAATCTAATGTACCAAATACAAATAAAATATTCTTTCTAATATTTTTCCATTGTTCAAAAATATTTTGTAATTGTTTTGGTATTTTTCTTTTTTCTGTTTGACTTAATATTTTAGTTTTATTTACTAAATACTCATTCAATACTTCTTCAAGTTTTTCTAGTCCATAATCTCCTGCATATGAGACATCTTCAAAACAACTATATACACTACAATAATATTTATTTAATTCTCCTAAACTAATTCCTTTTCCTTTAAATATTATATCAAAGAATGGGTTTAATGAAGAAAATAACTTGTCAACTTCTTTTTTTTCTTGAGGTTGGTTTGTCATTATACCAATCTTTTTTCTTTTTAAGTTTAGTTTTTCGGCTTTTCTTAACTTTCTGTTTTCTTTTTAATTTTTTTAATTAATATGTTTTATATAACGAAAAACAAAAAATAGTTTTAATTATTATCAAAAAGTCTCTAAAATGAAGTTAATTTCATTTGTATTTAAAGGGGAATTGTTTTTCTAATAAAAATAAAAAGAAAGAAATCAATAATAAATAAACGTAAACAAACTTTATAAGGTTCAGATATTTTTGGAATGATAGATACATTTAATTCATTTAAAGAAGAATCACCATCTAACCATAAAGAATCTAATGGTTGAGAAGATTTTCGTGATTTTAATTCACTACTTTTTCTTGGTTTTTGAAAATCATTTAATGAATGAGACTCTTCAGTTAAATAAGTAGATTCAATACAACATTTTAATTTTTTTTCATTGATAGTAAATAAAAATCCTTTATTTTTAAAAGCATCAATAATATTTCCTTCAACAGATTCTATTTTCCAATTATTTATTAATTTAATAAGTTCTTTACTTTCATTTGTTATTTTTAATTTATCTATTTTATTAAAATTATTTCTTTTATTAATTATTGATTCAAATAATTCATTTAATGGTTGAACTTTTCTTTCACTATTTTTTGGAATAAAGATGACTTGAATAATATTTTCTTTTAAAAGATAAGAAAATCCTTTTAAATATTCTTTATAATATTCTGGAATTAATAAAATAACAATTTGATGTTCACATTGATATTTTTTACGTTGATTAGTAATAAATTTAATAAACATGTTTAACCAAGCTTCAAAAACAAATAAACTAATTGCACAAGTAGTTTCTTCACTAAAAACAATATTAATTTGTTTTGTTATATTTTTTGTTATTTCTTTTTTTTGTTTTTCATTATTAACAACACAGTATAGAGGAAAAGAACTTCCATCACCACAAATACAACATAATAACTGGGACATTTTACTTTTTCTTTCAATTTGTAATTGTTTTGGATGATCATTTGTTCTTACAGCAATATTATCATCAAATATTTTTAATTGAAATCCAAATTCATCAACATTAAATATAAAATGTGGTGAAATTCCTTCTACTTTTTCTTTTAATAAATGATAATATCCTTTAATATCATTTTCATTTGGTTGATTTAATACTTTTGATATTTTTACTTTTCTTCGATTTAAATTTAATTCATTAAATGTTAAATTAACTCCTTCACAATAGTCTTCAACATAACATTGTATTGAATTTTCTGTAAATGCAATTCCTTTTCCAATAATCTCTTTCGATAATTGTTGAATATCTTTAATTGCTTCTTCGTTTGTTTTTAATGATGGGATTGTATCTTCAGTTGTAATTGTATCTGTATTTGAAATATCAATTTCTTTATTCTCTGGATTAGTTATTCTTTCTACATCTCTTAATGTACAATTCATTACAACTGCTATTTCTTCATTCTTTGCTACTGGACAGTATTGTTTTATTAATTGAATTTGTTCATTAAATGTTTCTAGTTCTTCAAAATTCCTTGAATAAATTACTCTTCTAAACATTTCTCTCAAACCAACATTAACTCCTTCTATATTAAATGTTGTTTGTGCTTTATTCATTCTATTCTTTTTTTTTAGTTCATTTAAAAAAAATTATAAAAATATTCTTTTAACAATTAATTGTATTTAGTTTTTAATAACCTTTTAATTTTTATAACCACCTCTATATATTCTTTTCTTGAACAGTTATATATTCATGGATGTTATTGGACTTTTTTTTCATTCGTTTTTGTGTTTAATTTAAAATACATATTACAGCATAAATTAAAAATGCCTTTTAAAAAAAATTAAAATAAACGTTGGATTATTTTATATGTTAAAATTACACCTCAGATTAAACTATCAATAAAAACATCAGAATAGTAACATGAAGAAATATAATAAATATTAATTAAAAACAATAAACACAATTTAAAAAAAATGTTGTAGTAATATGTAATGAATTTATTAATAATAACATAAAAAAAGAAACTACAGCATTTCAATTATCATTTAATATTAAATTGAAATAAAGCAATTAATTAAATATTAATAGAACTATTTTCTATTGTTAATGCAACAAGAGAGAGTAATCTTATTCTTGAAATATCTTCTAGCAGCTCTACGGAGTATGTTTG